AGCAGAGCTGGCTGGAGAATTCTGGGAGTTGAAGTCCACAAGTCTTAAAGTTGCCAAGTTTGGGAACCACTGCATTAGACCAAGCTCATGAAGTGTAAGTAATAATTTCTAGTGTTCCTAATTAGTCTGGCAAGTTTCTTTACTTGTAGTATTTGAGTTGCTTTACTTTCATGAAATTGCTGCAAGGTTGTTATAATAAAAAAACCCTCTTTCTATCTTGCAGTGGTCAATAATTTGCCATTTTTTTTTCTGGAATACAGGTAGTCCTCAACTTACAACAGTTCATTTCGTGACCGAAGTTACAATGGCATTAAAAAAAAGTGACGATTGTTTTTCACACTTAACGACTATTGCAGCATCTCCATGGTCACATGATCAAAATTCAGAGGGGTGGGGACTGGTTCATATTTATGACCGTTGCTGTGTCCCAGGGCTCGTATGTTCTCCTTTTGCCCCCTTCTGACAAGCAAAGTCAGTTAAGAACCGTGTGTGGATTAAATTAACAACTGCAGTGATTCCCTTAACAATTGTGGTAAGAAAAGTCATAAAATGGGGCAAAAGTCACAACAAAAGCTTCACTTCGCAACATGTTTTTGGAAGGGAATAGGAGAAAATCTGCAGATGGTGTCCATTAGATGGACTGGCAACATTCAGTTAAACCAAGCCTCTTCCCAAAGTTTGCTTGGGTGACAATTGTTCTTGGTTCCTTGGTTTTGAAAATAAGATCTTAGTCATGTCTGTCTTTAGTCAAATCTATTTCCATCAAAGACAAAGAGAGACAAATCCTTTGCTTGGGGAAAACTAGATAATTCTCATGAGTTAATCTTTAAATAAATAATGTACTTGCTATATAACGCAGGGGTATCTAAGCTGCCTTCAAAATCTACAAGGAGGTAGTCTAGGATGACAATCAGACGTGTATCCAGTAGGTGCACAGGATTATATCTTCATGCACTATTGTGTACAAGAATTTACAATCGAACTAATAACAGTGTTAGAAACTCCATTGTCCGGCATGAAAAATCCCAAATGAGGAATATCTGTTGTGATAAAAACTTTTGATGCTTTCTTGTAAAGAATACTGGCGCTTGAGGTCTCTTTAACCTGTCAATGTTAAGTAATTTAGAAAGCAGGAAAAGAACATAACTTGGAATATAGCATTCTACTACATTTGAGTTGGGTAGCAGTTCTATTGCGCCTTCTCCAGATTCTGGCTATTGGAGTCTCTAACAAAATCTGGTCTTTGAATTATTCTAAGAACTGAAGCAAAAGTTCAGTAATCTAGAAATTCCTAGGCTGCTCTTGGTGCTTGGTGCTTGGCTGGTGGTGTCATTAATTGGTTCAGAGACCCTGAATTGTGGAGGGAGGCCATAATTGGGTTAATTGTAGATGTGGAAAGAACAAGTAACTTTCATGAAGGTGCTGGCGCCTATAAAAAGCAGAAACTAGAAAAGGAAAGATTGATAATTGATTTTGAACACAAGCCAGATTTGCTGGGGACTGCAGAGAAACCATGTCCAGGAAAAAAATATCACACTACAGATAGTCCTTGACTTATTACGATGGAAATTCCAATTTCAACTGTGGTCATAAGTCAGTGTGGTTGTAAAGCAAGTGACTGGACCCAATTTTATGACCATTTTTATTATTGCCGTTAAATTANTCTCGGTTTCAAAAAAGCACGTTTGGGGAGACAACGGCATCACGATCACTTCCCAGCACCGCCACACACAGACCACAACTCCGAGAAGTAGGGACGATCGGGCAGAGTTTTTGAATCGTGGGGAGGAGGGATCTCTGTTCTTTACACCGCCGTTTTTTATGGTATCCCTGCCTTGCTTTCAACGGATCATCCCGAAGTCCAGCCCGGTGTGTGTGTCACAAAATCCTACATCCCAGGAACGACGTTGCACGACAACAAGGCAGTTCTTCGTCCGGTGCAGCCCCACTCGGCGCGCCTCCACCAAAAACTTCAGCTTTTTTTGAACTCCACGGGAGTGGATCTCCTCCTTGCTGGAATCGGTCGGATTGCTCCCTTTCCGAGGAGCAGTCGAGGGAAAGGCTGGTCGGCTTTTGGCAGCCCGCAGCCACACCCTGCCGGCTGGCGGCCGTCCAACCGGGCTGGCTACACCTGGCGCGGAAGGAGGCCGGCGAGCCGTGGGCAGGAGGCGGCATTTAAAGACGCGCGCGGCTGCAGCGCGCTTGTTTCCGAACGCTCAGCCCGGTCGGTGCACGATGCTCCTCGCTCGCTGCCTGCGGACGGCGCTCTTGCTTTTGCTGGCCCCGACGACGGCATGCGGGGCGGCCGTGGCCGCACGGGAGCCCGACGGCGACATCGGGCCCGCTTGTCCTTCTTCTTCTTCTCCGGCCGGCTGCGATTCCCCCGAGAGCGACCGTAAAGCGACTTGCGACGACGAGAAAGCCTGCCGAGTCCGGGAGGAGGGCGAATCCTGCGGCGTCTATACGCCCAGCTGCGCCCTCGGGCTGCGCTGCGTCCCTCGGCCAGGCGAGCGCACGCCTTTGCAAGCCCTGTTGCGCGGGAAGGGCGTCTGCTCGGCCCCGCAGCCCAAGAAAGGGGGCGGCAAGAACCAGACGGAGATCCTGGAGCTCGTTGCAGGTAAGGGGGATGGGGGCGCCCCGAGGGCTCGCAAACCCACGACGGGCCGGTTTGGGTAACCTCCTGAGGGGGGAAAAAGAAACCCAAACAAATCCTGACGGGCTCCGGCGAGATTTGCGAGCGGAATGATTTCATAGTGTGGGAAGAAACAATGGAAAAATAATAGTTTTTTTGTTTAACCGAAGCAAAAGAACTCTTAAGGCCAATTGTAACAGCTGTAGTGTTACTGTTATTACGGCCAGGCGATGGTTGCTAAGTGTGGAAATGGCTCCAGCTTGGAATAAGGAGCGCTCTTCCTTGAAAGGAAGACCGCGTGGACGCGGCCGGATTGGGGATTTGCTACTGAAGAGGGAATTTGGGTTTGCATTGCAAAATATGCTGGCCTGGCCTGTTGTATTCCAATTTCTCGGTGTATGGCCGCTCCAAACCTTGCCGCCCCCCGGTTTTATTTCTCTGATGTTACGTGATACCTATAAAAGAAATGTGACTCGCAAAGGTTTGACGAGGAGCTGCGGGAGGAATTACCGCGGGTTTGTTAGTTAGTTTTTTTTTTAAAGATAATCGTGCGACTGGACTTTTAAAAAGTTTTCGGTTTTATCTTCCCAGTCTTTTATTTATGCTTCTCGGGTTCAGAAAGGAACTAGCACTCCTTCAGACCAGACTGACGTTCACGTTTCTTGAGGACTAGAAGCTTCTCGGGTTCCCCTGGTTTCTCTTCGCGTCAGTGTCGAGGTTCTGCTCTGAACAAGGGGAAATTGAGTTCTGAAATTTTGAGATTGAGTGGAATTACTTGGGGGGGGGGGCGCGGCTTCCTCCCTTGCCCAATACGAACTCTCCTGGATGTAAAAGATTAAAGGCAATGTGTTCTGTGTACAGGCAGACAGGAATCTTTTAATGGGGGGGGGATTACTATTTATTTAAAGAATACAGACTAATATTTGAACCTTGGAGGTTGTCTAGTCCAACCCCCTGCCCAAGCAGGAGACCCTATACCTATACCATTTGGGACAAATGGCTGTCCAATCTCTTCTTAAAAAGAGATTTAGATTTATTTAAGATATTTAAATAAGTTATTTGTTAAATTTAGCTCCGGTATTAAGCAACTGTAGAGCCTTGGAGCTGCTCGTCTTATCTTTTTGCTTAAAACGAGTACCACATTCATTGCCAAGCCGGGATGGGGGTGTTGGGGATAATTGTTTCCTTTTTGCCAACACATCATCCTCTCCTGTGGAGGAACCTATCCTATAAGGCAACCTACCTCATCCTGGTGGCCCTAGGCTGCACCATCTAATATTCCCAGCCCCCTGAGTAACAATCCCAGCTCATCTGACAGCTGTGGCAAAGGCAGCTTCAAGAGGATCCCAGCCATTAAATTTATGGGAGGATCCCTGAAAGGGCTTGTGTGTGTGTGTGTGTGTGGTTTTGCACTTCTGAAATGCAAGTATCCACTAGCTTGTGGTGGACAGAAGCGCACTCTGGGAAAAGGGAGGGATCAGATTTGATCTTGGTTAATGCAAGCAGAGGCTGGATCTGCCATTACTTGCCTTGTCCCTCTTTTATTGGCTTTGGTTGATGCCTAGCAATTACAGAGCCTTTCGACCATCCCTTGTGCTTGTGCTGGTCTGTGGCAAAAGGACCAGTGATATAAATACCTATGGCACCTTGCCTAACTAACGTGGGGGTGCATCCTCAGAGGCTGATATTGGTTGTGACTTCAAGTGCATGGAAGGAGGTGTAGACTGAAAACGGGCAACATGTGGAGTAAATGAACTTTCCTTCCTTATCAGCAGGATGAAAAGGAGCTATGCCACCAAGTGATGCCACCAAGTGATGCCACCAAGTGATGGATGGCTGGCTAGTTGGCTGCTGCTGGGCTATGCCCTTAGATTCATACTTCAGCAGGAAAACAGGGCTAATAAAAGTTTATGTGAAGAACCTTTCTCTAAAATTTTAAAAATCAATAGAGGAGCGGTGAGCAAAAGAATTTAAAATTCCTGGACTGGTATTTCCATTTTGGAAGAGAAAAAATGCAAAGAATCAGCCCCAGTGCGCAGGCAGTTGTACCTACCACAACTAAACCATCTTAAATGGCACTGAATCACCTTAAATGGCAAAGATGCTCCTAAATAATAATAATGAAACAGTTTGCCTGAAAGATGGTAGAAGGAAGAATGGCAACTGCTGGTGTTTTGGTGGCAAAGGCTTGTTCTAAACCAGTGTTTCTCAACCTTGGCAACTTGAAGATGTCTGGACTTCAACTCCCAGCATTCCCCAGCCAGCATTCGCTGGCTGGGGAATTCTGGGAGTTGAAGTCCAGACATCTTCAAGTTGCCAAGGTTGAGAAACACTGTTCTAAACTAACTGCCTCAATCGAAAATCTTTTCTCTGCTAAACTTCAGATCTCATCTTAGTCTATCCTAACTATCAATAGTGTATGGATGGTAAGAGTCCAGCACAATTGAAGGACTCTGGGTTGAAGAAGACTAGTTGCAATAGTAGTCCTCCAATTTACGACCACAATTGAGCCCCCAAAATTATGTTGCTAAGTAAATTTTGCCCCATTTTATGACTTCTCTTGCCACATTTGTTAAGTGAATCACTGCAGTTCCCTCAGTTAGTAACCCGGTTGTTAAGTGAATCTGGCTTCCCTGTTGACTTTGGCAGAAGGTTCCAAAAGGGGATCCCAGGATCTTGGGACACAGCGATGGTCATAAATATGCCAAGCATCTGAATTTTGATCATACGATCATGGAAAGTTCGCAACTGTGAAAACGGGTCCTAAATCATCTTTTTTCAGCACCTTTGTAACTTTGAATAGTCACTAACTGAACTTTTTGTAAGTCAAGGACTACTAAACTCCCAAACCTCTCGTATTCATTCTGGAATTCTTGTGCTGTTTGGGGCTACCACTCCTGTCAATCAGTGACCTTAAGTGTGTTGCCTGAGGCTGTGGTTCCCCTCCCTCACCCCATAATGCAGAGGCTCCCACGTTAAGCTTGCAGAGCAGATCTGGGCCATTGCTGAATTCCATCCCTTGAAGGGATCCCTTCTTCTCCATCTTTCCTGAGAAGTTATGTTTTTCAAAGCATGGATTCAGCTATCAACCCATCAGAAGCATGCACCTTTCTGTGCGCTCTTCCTTGATTCACTGAACCCAGCTTTCCACAAGAAATGTGCTTTGAAAAGTGGTCAGCTGGGGATTGGTCTGACCACCGTATTGGGAAGAAGCCTAGGATTTTCTAGTCAGCTGGCCCAATTCCCGTGGTTGGGAGGATCCTCAATTTTATCTTTCTTTTCCCCTCTTCAGTGATTTATTTAGAAAAAGATTCCCTCAGCCCTACTTCAAAACTCAAGCAATGAGATTTCTGTTCTTGGTTGAGGCTGCTGGGATCAGAACTCTGCATCTGGGAAAAACCAATGCTATTTTTCTTAAGCTGGGGAACAAATTGTCTCTCTTGTTTGTTAGAATTTATGAGTTATTCAGAGCACTATAGAAACAGAATCCTAGGCAATTTCCTTACCAAAAGTATAACAACTGAAGTGTGTTTTTTTTAAGGGAAAAAGCACTGGTTTTATTCCCAGACAATTTGTGACCATGTTCTTTCACTCCCCCAGCTGTGGAATCCACTCAAGAAGACCTTCCCTTGCATGCCCATCATTCTATGATGCACCGGAGAACAGTTTCATCACCAGTCTGAAAGTTCAGCAGGGGCTTAGTGGTAAACTTAGTCCAGAAAATAGATTGATCCCAGGTGATTCAGAACTTTAATGGTTATTACCTTTCATGCAACCATCCTAAACAATGCTACTGTCAGGCGCCTGAATCACAGTCATGTTACTCTATGGACGCTGCAATGGTTATAAGCGCAAGNAGAGAGGCAGAGGAACAGCTGGAGCCCGTTCCCAGTGTGCGCATGCGCAGGTTTGCCAGACGAAGGGAACAGCTAAGGAATAAGGGTCGACTTGGCATGTTGGTGGTTGGGGAATTCTGGGAGACAAAAGTCCAAATATTTTAAACTGGCTAAGATTGAGAAGCATGGATTCAGAAGGATGTGTAAATATGCTGTGGATCGATCCTATGCCCTTCAATAATAATGGAAGGCTCTGTGGCTGACTTTGCCTTAGTTCTTTTGATTTTTCTTTGAAAGAGGTCAAGGTTAGAGAAATAGCTTCCTTTTTAAATATAGGTTAGCCATTGCATATTATTTTTCTTGCAGAAAGAAACCTGTTTCAGTGGCAGCTATACTGAGCAGCAAACAAGTTTTCTTATGATCTGCTTCAAATGAGCCATCTTTTTTTTTTACACATAAAAGCATAATATAAAAAAAAAATCCAGTCTTCTAGAGTGGCTATTGTTCCTCTGTTGGTCTAAATTTTCATGGAAAGTCAATTTGCTGTTGAAAAAAGGCTCTTGTCTTCTCCATAGTGCCGGACCTCCAAAGGTCAGAAGAGAGGCCGATGCTGGTGTGTGGATAAGAGAGGCCATCGATTGGAGGGGCTGGAAGAGAGCCCCCTCTGCCTGCTTGCTAACAATGACTGAGGGATGCAGAAAAACTGGACACCACCAGGGTCCAGCAGCAGAATTCTTGACTGAGGGGACTCGTCTTATTAGAACAGTCCTGGAAAATCTTTGCTTGTAATTTATTGCACAGTTGTTGCCTTGTTGGGATCCTGCCTTCCCTGCGATAACTTTCTTACGGTGTCTAATAATACTCTACAAAAGACTGCTCAGAGAAATAGCAGACTGGGGTCTTGTACTTGCATGACCAAAGAGGGGTGTTGAATAAGCTACCGGTAGTTGCATTAAAGCAATAATGCTGGCACTTGAATCAATTCTCTTATACCAGTAAAGATGCTTACAAGGAACAAGAATAGCCAGTTCCTGGAGGTGCTGTATGTATACTTGGTATACCTTCTATAAATTGTGTAGGGAGATCAGGATTTATCTTATACATGCTACCAAATAGATGTGGAAGGGGTTTTAATAGCACAATTATAGTACTCATTAAGGGTGATGTAGAGGAAGTAAAATTTGCTCAAGTTTTTAATGGCCAACATCTACAATGTACGCAAGAAAATGAAAGTGGTACAGATACTGGAACTGAGATGTATGGAAGTTTTAGATGTAGCTTTAATGTTTTTCGCACTCTCCCTTCTGTTTTGTTTCATGGCTCTCCTCAGCATATCCTTTTAAAGTTATCTGAAATGACAGGAAAACCTGAAGCTGCCTTCCACGCAGAAAAGCAGTGGATGATGGATTATCCCTATTTGCCATAACGTGCTTTAATTTAATATGTTTAAATAGATAGGTCTCTAGTTCTATGTTTTACTATACGTTTGGTTTCAATAAATTGGATGATTATGCCATTTTAATGATTTGATGATACTTTAAATCCCTGATGCGAGGAAGCGAAAATTACTTCTTTTGGAGAGAGCTTTTTTAAAACACCAGGTTGCATTCAAAATTTAATTTTCACTGGCAAGTGGAATTAATAGTTCTTTGTAACTTGACAGATTGCTTACTTATAAAACATGAAGTATCTGGTTAATAATTGAGGTGTTTTATTTACTTCTAAATGAGCTCTTTAAGAGGCTAGCAGTGTCAAGTGTTTTGCTGGGTAGAGATGTGAAAACAAAGTTAGTGTAGAAAGATGGAAAACAAAGGCCCAAATTATGCAGCTGGTAAGAAGGGCAGGCTGTCCAAATGGATGTTGTCTTACAGATCAGCACAATGGATCTGGCTTCCTGTATGTAAACAAAGCATTTGTTGTATCAGTCTCCTGGATGCTAGAAAATTTTCATCTTAATAGTCATAGTCACCACAAGTATTTAGAATACATGATTTGTGTGTAGGAGGGGGGGAAATCTAGCCCATTTGACAGGATAAAATTACTGGAATATTGGGCAATAATGTTGGACAATAAATTACACAATTGTAATGAATTGGAAAGCTTGCCTAAAATGGAAAAAAGGTCTGTCTCACAGCTTTGCTTCTGACAGGGTTCATAAGTTAACCTATGGTTTATAAATCATAGTGGCTACTGTCACAACTAGCAAACCAAACCACATTATAATGAACATGTAACCATTATTCTCTTTGGTTCGCTCCCATCCGTTTTAGATAAGACTTTGCTCTTTCTTTCTTGTACTTAAAGAAACAAAATGCAATATATGACCATTTGATTCTTGTTGTAGCATTACGGTGCAATTCTGATGTTATAATTTTGGGCTGGTTTATACAGAGCATCTAGACAGGCCTACATCCATGTTGAACTGAAACTATATGATCAAATTAAGTGACAAATGACACAGCATATGTGAATGTGGTGTGAATCATAGGACGTTTTACTGAAAGCAAGACTTTTAACCTTTTAATATTTTAAATGTGAAATTTATAATAACTGCTCAAGCACAAAAGTTGGGAAGTCAGACTGCTGTTGATGATTAAAGATATAGTAAGTGGATGAGCCTTGCCTCCTTTTCATTTTTTATTTCTTTTAAAATAATAAAAGAAAAACAAAAGGAAAAGCAATAAATAAAAATATATGCATTGTGAAAGAAAATGTAAAAGTGAAAAAACTGCAACAAGGGGAAAAAGGTATATCTTGCCCCTCTTAATTAAGAGCATATTGCATGGAAAGATATGTCTGTAACTTTAAAAGCTATTATACTTTATGTAGTTACCCAGTTCCAGCTAACAAAGAATTCTTATTTTAAATTCACATTTATTGCTTGCAAATAATAGCAATTATAAAAGGTGGACACAATTCCTGAACCAAATCAGTTGACAATGTCTGTTCTAAGCTAAACATTTTAAAATGAACAGTAATCTCAGTCAGCTAATCCTAAAAAGCCAGACGGTTCATTTTTATCATCCATAACTTCCTTTTGTGTTAGAGTCAGCGAGGGGAAAAATGAGGAGGCAGATTTGACCACAAGGACTGAAATCTGCAAATCCTCTGGCTGCAGAGGCATAAAGGGGTGGGAGGAATACAGAATCTTTTTGAACACAGGAAGTTGGGGAGATGTTTCAGGCATTGCAAAGGGCTCATTTAACACAGTTCAAAAGATGAGACTTTCAAGCATGTAGAATAATCTTGTCAGTTGAAATCTGAAACGTGAACTGGAAAATAATCAGGTTTCTCCATTATTGATTTGCCAAATTCAAGCATACATACCGTTAAGAGTCTAAAGATTTAAGAGTTCCGATGGTCTAAGGTGACCCTTGTGAAAAGGTTGTTCGACCCCAAAAGGGGTCACGACCCACAGATTGAGAACTGCCGTAGATGTTGTTCATCACTCACTCCACTTATCTCAATTACAGCACCTCTCAATGAAATCAGTTGCAAAATTGAGTATGTTTGTTAGGAAATACTTCTGCACTCTGACCAAGCTTCATCAGCTAAAAGCTCAAAAAACATTTTTTTTTTCACTTTTGGAAACTCATTGCCAACTTCATTCATTGTATACTCACTCACTCACCAGGACAACACAACAATCAGAAAATAATTTGCAATAGAAACCTTTCACTGTAAATGGGATATCAGATTGTTTGCAGATTAATTATGTCAAGTTGTAGTACTACTGTCTGTAAACAGGATTAGGCCTCTTGACTTCCCAAGTGACACAATACAAAGAAACTTCATATTAGATAAACAAAATACTTTATTTAAAAAAGTTCACAAGTCAAGTTAGAAAATACTGAAGTACTCTCCATTTATTCATTGTCTAAAAATTAGTTGTGTCTGTACTAGCTTTGACCATTTGGGAGGGATATTTTATTCCTTTCAAAACACCTTCATGGCTTATATCCCAAATTAAGCAAAGATGTATAAATTAAAACTTTTGCCCTAGTTATTATTTCACATTGGTTTCAGCATTTTACACGTTTGGTGTGCATATAACAAGGACCTTGGTTTTCCTTAAAACTTCAAATGGACAGGAAAAATATAGTACATGTCAACTGTTTGTTTGGTTTTCTCTTGTCTTCTGTTTTTTGGAACCAGCTTTGATCCCAGTTAAAATAACAGATCCTTGTGTAACTAAACTGAGCGATCATTTTACTGACTAGGAAACAAACTAGGGTTTGAAAACAAATTATTAGATCTCTTTCAATCCTGTTAAGAAGGATGGAGGGTGGCAATGGAAACTTTAAAAGCAGTTAATTTATCAGTTAATAAATTTTGGATAGCTAGAAATACAAACATTTTGGGCGGTTATACATATCTACTATGAATTTATTGCCATGTTCCATCCAGATGCAACTGAATCCTTCTCAAAGGATTGCAATAACATTGAGGACTATCGGGATAAAAACAAGGCAATTTAAACTCTGAACCATTGGGGGGGGGGGTGTTGGTGAAGATCACAAAAATATTGGCTTTCAAAAAGCAGTTTTGTACAAAATCCAGCATTTCAGATTGCTCTGTCTCCTTCAAACCACTCTAGAACCTCCGTTCTAACCATACAGAAATTAATTCTTCAAACTGAAAGTGGCTCATCTCTGTATGTCAACCCCACCAAAAAGGCCACAAATAAGTTATAATATGTAACGGGTATCATGGATGAAGTCCACAGGAAGTATTTTAGTGGAAGCAACCCTCTTCTCAAGATATATAATTAAAAATATTTCTATTCGCGCAATTATCATGTATAGTACAGAACCTCTCTGGGAGACATAGCAACTTATTGCCTCCCA